CCCAGCAACAGGTAAGCTTTCCACCCCAAGGGCTGCCCCTGATTACCCCAAGCGTTATCTAGATATCCGGCTACTTGCAGAACCACGGGGCCCTCGAGTACTTGGGCACGGATCCGTACGGCCAGCCCCTCTCCTCGCTGCACCACGCCCCACTGCACCACTACAACCAGCTGGCTGGACTGAGGTCGACGCAGGACCAACTGGGGATCCACAGGACCCACAGAGAGGCCGAGCTGCAGGGACATGTTGTAAGTATAGCTTAGAATCTAATGTATGGTAATTTGTGGTGTTGTAACTTTATATTTCTGATAAACCCTATTACTACTCTATTAACTCTACTTAAAGACTGAGGTCTGATAAGGTTTTTAGGGAGAAGTATAATGCTGTCTTTATAAGATGTCGGATTAGGACTATTTTTTTTGTAAAAAAATATAGAATTGTTATCAGTTTTTGTTTGGCAGTCTAAGACACCTTTCGGGATTTGTTTTAATTTATCACAAGAGAAGTATCGATCTAATCCTATTCAAAGTATTTATATAATTTGGGTAATATTAGGTTTATTACTATGACTAACAGCCTTTAGAAAATTTTAATTTCACAAATAAAATCAAGGCTTGAGCGGTTTGCAATTACTATAAGTACTAACAAGGAGGCAATTCAGGACGGTACTCAATCTCTTCATCCGTTTAAGAATTTCCGTCTTGTTCCACATTATTCTTGCATATTTGCTACATTCTTGGCTTCGAAGGCCATAGAGCGTTTCGGGGGTGGAAACTTCCTCATTCTGTGAAAGTTGTCGAAGTTATTTTTGAACGAATTCCATTCGAGTGCATTAAAAAAACATCCTCCGGAAAATGTAAAAAATGTTCTTGGGATCTCGCAAGAAAGTCCTGCCAACAACGATGAAATTCCTAGCTCAGCCTTAGCCCGCCGAAGGGAGTCCCTTGTTGAGTCCTACTCACTCCGCCGGCAAGTGGTGCAGTGTAACCGAAACACTGAATACCGAACACCGAACTCCGAACCCAGAAACGCAGCCTCAATGCCCCGAAAAGGCGTAGCCTCGCAGGCTCTGTGCGCATCTGTCCGCCCCAAAGGACTCTCACACAGACGCGGCACACAAGCTCCGGCAAAGAGTGTGTGTGTGTGCGGCCTCCAGCCGGTCTGCATACATTAGCGGTAAGGACCTCGGATTGGCTATGCGACGACTTCAACCCCTTGGCGAAACCGAACCGCCGAGGTATTAATAATCTCGCAATTATTGACATCGTTTCTACCATGCCCGCTGTAATAACACTGAGCTGCAAGAGTTATGTTTCCGCTTGATTTAAGACGCTTCTATTGGCACCTTTTAGGTCAAAAGAAGTACTAAATGTAAAACAAAAGAGTATAGAAGATAGCATTTGTTCCAGATCTTTGAGATAAAGATGTATTATTTCGTAAACTATAGCCAACTTAAGTAACGATACCAAAAAGATGGAAAGATATAATAATAAGGGACGTGTCGTAAGTGTGCTTTAAAAAGTTCATTTGGTCCAGAAACACAAAAAGGTATGGGATTAGATTAATAAAAAAGGCCATTCCAGATACATTCCATGTAATGTACTTATTATTTTATGTTTATTTGTTTAAGTAACTTAAGTTACCAACATCTTACTATTAGTCCGAATTATATTTACTTTGAATCATTTGCAGACTCAACTGTCCCACGGATTTCCGTACACGGATAGAAGAAGCGATTACGGTAGTGCAATATCGGCGGGAGCTGCCCACGGAACGCGCCTTGGTCATGAGCACGAGTCCCTGGCGTTGCACCAAGCCCTTCAAAATGCTGTCGATGATGTCCAAGCTCCTGCCCTCGATGACAATGTGGCGTTCATGTCAGACTTACCGCTTATAAAGAGTAAGTTGATCCAAAAAATATCCTCTTTTAAATAAATCTTTCAATTAAGAAACGAAGTTGACTAGAAATATAGCATTCCCGTGGACATACAAGCTCGTTTTAAACTCGAGATTACTTAATGAAGGTCATTTTATCAACATGTGTGGAAACCAACCCTGTGAACAGAGTCCAAAAATACAGAATATACAAAATACAGACCAGTAAGGGGGAGAGTCTAATTTAGATTTAGAACTTTTAAAGCATATGTTCATATTTTGATGGAAAAAGTAATGGGAGATTGTATTTTGTTGCTTAAATTACTTTGAATGCGGATTATTGTTTTAAAATTATGCATTTACTGCATTTCAATTGTTTATGTGCCTGAAATATACAATATAGAAAGCACAGGCTTAGAAGTTACAGGTCTCCTGGGGAATACTACATTGCTCAACAGATTCAAGGCTTGCTTCAAAAACAAAGACTAGAGAGAAAATTGTTTATATAAATTGAAAACACAACTACTGCAAATATTTTTATACATATACTCTCAACATCATATACATATACATTCATAATCCTAATGAACTTGCAAGTTAGATTCCACTCCATGTTGCGAATGAGGCGGAACCTCGAACACGCCTAAATAACAATGCCAGTACCTACCCTAGGAAGTGTGAGTTGGCTGGCATTGTGAAATCGAATCTTGCCCTTCTAATTGGCAGGATTCGGGTAAAACGATCCCCACGTCCTGCGTTCACACTTGGCACAGCCAGAACAATAACAACAATGGCAATAATAATATATTTTCCCTGCCCTGAACAATATGGTGTGCATACAGACTCATGGAGTCTAAACTTGGTGTTGCTGTTTCTTTTTTGCAGGCATGAAAAGCGGAAAAGAAGCCGGGAACATTGGATCGGGTTCGCCCAGCGAGGTATTTTGTGCAGTTCCTGGTCGCCTTAGTCTCCTATCGAGCACCTCGAAATACAAGGTTACCATAGCCGAAGTGCAGCGACGCCTGTCGCCTCCAGAGTGCTTGAACGCCTCCCTACTGGGCGGAGTGCTCCGAAGGTGGGTTCAAATGGGTTATCAACTTCTTTATGGTAATAAGCTTTATTATTGCAGGGCCAAGAGCAAGAACGGGGGACGCCTGCTAAGGGAAAAGTTGGAAAAGATCGGCCTTAACTTACCGGCTGGCAGGCGAAAAGCGGCCAACGTGACGCTACTCACATCCTTGGTGGAGGGGGAGGCAACCCATCTGGCCAAGGATTTTCATTTCGTGTGCGAAACCGAGTTCCCCGCCAGGCAGCTGGCCGAGTATATTGTGCGCCACCAAACTGAGCCGCAGGACTCATACCGGCGGAAAGAGCTCATTCTTCACTCCCAGCAGGTAAGTAGTCCTAAGGAAACTAAACCAATCATGGACTGATTTCATTAAAGAACTGAATCTAAATCTAAAATCTTTTAAATTAAATATTAACTTTGCAGATTACAAAAGAACTTATGCAGATCCTGAGCCAAGACCGAACGACCCATTTCGGCACGAGATCCCAGCACTTGCTGGAGCCATCGATGCAGCGCCACTTAACACACTTCTCCTTGATAACGCACGGATTCGGATCGCCCGCAATCATGGCTGTTCTGCATGCTTTCCAGGTACTTTATGCTATAGATAAACTATTAAGCTATTATTAAACTAACGCAAACTTTTTCATTACAGACATTTTTGAATGAATCGTTAAACTACTTGGAAAAGCTGTATCCTTCAAACGGTGGCGGGATGGTGTCATCATCGTTGGATAAAAGTAAAATTGACAACGAAAAAAAATGATAGGCTATGTTGTATATTGCCACAGATTAAAGCAAGCCGTAGTTTAAGATTAACTTTCCATACATTAGGTACAACATCGATAAAAATAATAAAATTCCTGTAAATTAATTTATTTAGTTAAGTGTAAATTATTGGACATTTTGTATATCTATAACTGTAATTTGAATGTACAATATTCAAATATATTAAATACGTATAATTTATTTAACTTAGACAAATACATCGACTTTTTGTCAAAAGCACAAAGCTTTTTACAACTAATTCAAACAAAAATCTTTACAAATACAATTATTTGTATGTAGAAACGATTGAAATGCTCTCATTTTTAATTTTTTAAGTAACTTACAACTTAAAGATTTTAAAATTATACAAATGAATAAAATGTGTTTTTAAAACTAAGTTCGTGTATTTACTAATTGCAGATATCCACCGATTGTTGAAAATCAATCCTCCGACATTAGTAATGATTAGGAACATCAATAAAACACATTATAAAATATTTGTTATTGCTAAAATTTGACATTTCGAATTGGAACATTTCAAGAAGTTCATCCTTTAAAAGTACTCGCGTTCTTTAACCACCTTTGACTTGTGATAAACAACAGGTAGTAAACTGGATTTTAAAATTAAAACTTAGAATATACAGGTGTCATACAGACGTTTTTGTCTAAGGATATTTACTACCAAAAAGACTCCACCCTGTATCCATATGAATACAAATAAGAAGAAACGTTGTAGTCGATTGCCGTGACTATGAGATTCCCTTTACAGCTTTACACAATTTTAAATTATTCATTTTGCTAGTGGAAATGGACAAAGTGCCATCTTTTATTAAAAAAGCATGTTTTCTAGCTGACGGTGACGTCACTTTCTATGTGACGCCTTAACTTACATTTCTTCATAAAAAGCGAAATTGTACCGATTTGAAAATACTTTGGAAAACCGGTAGATATTGACATAAATATGTTAAACAAAGTCAAACGAAGACATACACCATAATATTATGGACGCCAAAGTGGGCGTGGCAGAATGCTGAAATCAACTTGCGCTGCGTATGGGCCTCAAGAATCTGCCTGCCTTATATCAACTCTGTACCTCTTATAGTTCCTAAGATCTCAGCGTTCATACGGACAAACGGACGAACACACGAACAGACGGACGGACGGACAGGCGGAAATGGCTCAATCGACTTCGCTATTGATACTGATCAAAAATATATATACTTTATAGGGTCGGAAACGCTCCCTTCTACCTGTTAAATACTTTTCAACAAATCTAATAAACCCTTTTACTGTACGAGTTTTTGGATTTTTTAAGTAATGAAATATTTATTTACAGAATATATCTACGTTTTATGAATAAAACAAATAATATAATAACAATTAAGCTTAAACAAACCATAAATATAATTGGAGTTCTTAAGCTATCGGCGTCTTGGCTGGCTGTAAAGTAGTCACTGTTTAAGGACAATTTCGTGATCTCTGAATCCAATAAATTTTTAATTAAATCGATATTATATTCTGAAAAAGATTTAACGTTTAATGTTAAATTAGTAAGAATAGTTAGCAAAGACATTAATAAATACCTTCAGTTTCCCTTGTAACTACGTCTAATATAGAAGATTCTCTCGGCTCAGCGGATTCTCTCTTCGACAAGGGAAGCCAATGAATCTTTTCACAAATATTGTGTTGTGGACTTGATTTTGAATTATTGCTTGATATCCTAAGAGGTAATGGGGGTCTTTTAAGTTTATGAAATTCCGATATACGATTAAGGTTTTGCAACAAGCTCGATTTGTGAGAGTTTATCGCAAAATCTAGAAATGTGATCAACAGCCAGTAGCAAGCTTTCTCCAGATGCGTCGAATCCAGACAGTTTGAGTCCCCATATACGGCGATTCGTCCTTCACTATTGGTATTGACTTTGGCTAAGCTGATACTACGTTCCTTCTTTCGTAGTAGCAAGACTCTGTTCTTGAATGTTGAGTAATCCGTGGGTATAGCCTCAACCAAATTGCTTTCTGCAAGGCTCATTATCTCCTCTTTGCTGTCAATACTGTTCGCTTTAGTTTGGAACATTCCGAAAATAGGTAAATCTATCTTAGCCTCCTTGTTGGCTGTCTTAGCATTTATAATCTGAAAAATGGAAATCATTAATTCGCTTAAATCAAATAGTTTTAAGTAAACATACTGAAAGTCCTTGATCATTTAGCTTTGTTCCGACTAAAATATCTCCTGGGTTCATTGGAAACTTAGTAATTGCGGCTCCACTTGCGTAGTACATTGAATGATCGCCCAGTTTAAAGTGTCCCTCTCCGACAAAGTCGCCAAAGGCTATTCCAAATGGCTTCAACAAATCATTCAAGGCTGGAATATTAGCGCCACCAGTGTCCGGTGTCCACCATTGTCTGGTGTTTTCATCAAAGAATTTGATTTTTTTCATCACCGTTGTGTTATACCAATCTCCGAATATCACGACATTCAGACCTTTATTATAAACGTTTTCTTTTAAAGCGTTTATTTCATCGTCGCCAAACTCTCTCTCAGGGTCAACGATCAACAGTGCGCCATAGTCCGAAGCGTTGAAACAGGTGAATGGTTCTCGCAAAACATCAACATAATAGCCAACATTTCGTAAATGTGTATACATGTCCTTAAAGTTTGTGTGTATATGGTCCGCCCTCCAGTCCAGAGGATCTAACTTTACTTTAAGATCGTCTCGTGGTATGTAACGCGGCGGATACCTTAAGCTATGGTATTGGTCCCATAATATCCTCTTGTTTCTTGGAGGTTTTTGGGTTACTTTTATGGACATCGGGAATTCTATTTCGGTTGTATGACTTTCGTTCGTTGAATCTTTAAAACTTTCGACGACTAACGTGATACTTCCTTTACAAACCCCTTCAAAGTTCTCGCCGTCCTTGTTTACAGCTGAAATGGGAACCAAAATGTTTACTAATAAAACCGTGTTTGTTGATATATAAAAACTATTCTAAAAGCTGTAAGATCCCACAAAAGGCGAATATAAATTGCGAACAATTATATTCAACTCACCAATGAAAAAGGCCAACCATCCGGTCCACGGCCAAAATATAGGGGAGACTTGTGTTGATATTTGTAGAAATTGTCCATGATGATCAAGATCAGGAATCCATTTGGGGGTGCCAACTAACTGACTGGTGACGGAAATGCCGTTGAGTACTGTCACGTTTGCAATTACCACTGAGCTACCATAGTACAACGGCTGAGAGCTATACGGCCACATATAGTTTAAGGTAAAGTCAAGGTATGATGGAATAAGAGTAATCTTCGGTTTATAAGACAACAGCAGCTGCATACTCTTCAACAGATTCAGTTTTCCAGCTCCCTGCTCAAACATGTTATAGTGCGGAAGCTTCTCGGCACCTTCGATAAGCACCTGCTTAAGCGACGCCGGGTTTATCAAATCGATTTTCTGAAATGCACCGCTTATAAGCAGTGCAGCTACTCCTGCAACAACTGGAGACGAAACGGACGTTCCCGAAAGGCGTCTGCATCCCTTGCGCACATCACTTCCTTCCACTTGACTTCCGTACGTGACTATATCGAGCCCCAATCTCCCGTAGCCCAGAGGAAGCTCCCACGTGGTCATTCCTCTTGAACTAAACTTGGCGATTTTGTCATCAAACTGAATACCGCCGACACCAACCACATCGCTTTGATCACCAGGATTATTCAGAGTCCCATATAGGGGTCCATCGTTTCCTGCTGCCGATATCATTATCACATTGTTAGCGGACAATTCCAAAACCTTCTCAACGAACGGCGAGTCCATAAAGTCTGGTCCGCCTATGCTGAGGTTAAGAATATTTATTTTCTTGTAAATCGCGTAGTTGAAGGCATCCAGAAACCAGGAAGTGTAAGAGACCTGAAATGAGAGCTCTAATAAGTTTTAATCTTGTTGTGATGTTAACATTTTACTCACCTGAGAATTCGTAAAGACTTTAAATATGTAGAGATCGGCGTCAGGAGCAAAACCTAGGCACTCCCTGGAGGAGGCGATTACGCCGGCGACAAAGGTCCCATGACTTACCCTGTCGTCTAGGGACTTTTCATTTGTCCAGTTGGTTCGTTCCTTCACATTTCGAAAATGCGGATGGTTTTTGGTTAGGCCAGTATCGAATATAGCCACTTTGACTCCTTTGCCGGTAATTCCAAGTTTCCAAAGGACATTAGCGTGCAGAACGGAGCAAACCTGCCGCTGTCGATCATTGTTTGCTGGTCTATTTCTCAACACTCCTTGCGTGTGACGGTTTATATTCGTCAAATTTCTGTACGGGGTATAGTTCAGGATCCTCCGCACACTTCGCTGAGGAACTATTGCTTTCACTGATGGGTGAGATTCAATCCTTTCTACAATTAACTTGGCAAACGTCTCGTCACTAGCTAGCACTCGTAAAACATCAAAATCGCTTGGGTATTGCCAAGCTAAATTTTCACGACGAACTATTTTCCAGTTTGTGATCTAGGCAAAGACAAATTAAATATTTATTTTAAAATTATTAAATATAGCGAAATGTTTGGTTGATAACAAAAATATTCTGTTCTCTCAGATACACTTTGGTTTTAAGGACATTAACTTACATTCGACCCAAAGAGTTTGGCTTTAATAAAGGATTCGCGGACCGGTGCAAAGTACTTAGAATGGAAATGAACAATAAACTCATTGGGAATTATGGCTGTTTTAAAGGCGTCAAAGCCACAAATTGCACTTATGGTAAATATAAAAGTAAACACATTCATTTAACTTTGTGAGATTGATCTAATTTAATTCAAAAGTTCAACAGGCTCCTTACTGAAGAAAAACAAATAAACAAACCATAATCAGCTGTTTAGTGTGGACATAAATGGTAATATCAAAAATACCGGAAAATACAAATAAGGCGAATACTAAATAGAAAAAAATATAATTATAAAAGTTAAGATTTATTTAAAAGTCTTCTATTGAATTGAATAAAATAAAAATAAATTCAAATATATATAGGTTTGGAATGATAAAAAAGGATGGTTTTATTATATCTATTTCAAAGATTATTTCTTATTTCGTGATTTCAATAATTTGTATCTTATCTTTTTTGCACAATTTAGTTTTGGTCATACTTTAGGCATATATTTTTAAGCAAGTTTAAGTAAGGTATGAAAAGCTAAATTTAAAAGCAAATCTAAATCGCAAAAATGTATTCAAGTTACTCAAGAGAGGTCATAACCGTATATTTGCAAGAAATACTCTTTTCAGCTGGGGATAGTCAATCAATCTGTTTATACCGCAGTAAAAGATACAATAATATGGTTACACAAAAAGCGGCAATAACACTAGAGGACCCATAGACTTTATCAGGCGCCAAGACTTTTCACTTTTGTCAAACGTTTTATTTATTCAAATGAAAGAATGTGTACGTATCCTATAAGCTAAGAAGTTAAGCTGAGGTCTTACTAAACAAATTTGGGTACTATATTGGCTTACCATTATTTTATTATTGATAATCTTGTTGATTCATTAAATAACTGTAAAAGCAATTGTAATTTCTAAATACACTTTGAAATGCAAACTATTAAAACTTACCTTAATTATTATAAACTTTATTAATTATTAATTTTAAGAGGTCAGCAGTGAAAAAAAGCTTTAGATTAATATGAAATCCCTTATAAGTCACGAATATCACCTTTAAGAGTATTCATGCTTCGGCTTACCAACATTATTCACCACATTCTAATAAGAAGTGAACACAAAACTTATAGAACGTCAAAATATGAATGTCATCAATTATTAAGGATGAGATAATTAAATTAAATTTTAAATAATTTTCCAAGAAAATTTCAAAATAATTGAACATTTTATACTTACAGATTAGGTCTCAGAATGGAGGAGCTTTGCAACAATTCCGGACACTCGGCCACTTCTAGCAGCGGAAGTAATTCGTCGATATCAGCTAAAACCGCTTTGAGTGAATGCTCCGCCGCTTGGATAAATTACTTGAGCGCCTTAAATAACTTATGTACTGCTGGCTCCAAACTGGCCCATTCTATAGCTGTTTTAGAGCAGTGGTCCTTGAGCGAAAAGCCATTGTTCAATAATTACACGACTTCATATTTAACAAATTCTTGGAACGATTTGGCAAGGTAAGAGCCATAAGCCTGACCAAAATCTGTTTCTAAATTCAAATACTTCATTCCCCAGAGCTACAACAGTGGCCACTGGAACAGTCAAAACTCACATGTTGGCTTTACTGCAGGATTTCGTCACCATATCGTCCATGGACCAATCTTCCAATACTGAATTGGATCAAAAACGGTTCAGAGAACATAACGAACTAATTGTATTGGAGAATGCACAGGCTGTGATCAATATTCAGCACCAATTCTGTGCAGCCAGCTACGATGCATTTTCATCCCTAACTTGTTGCTTTGTTTGCCAATCCCCAGTCGGATTTCCACATGAACAAGACTGCAGTGTTATGAAACAACGGTAAGTCATGGTCATATATTTGTTCAAACTTCAATCAATTTTTTTTTTCAATCTTTAAAGCCATCAATACGACCAACGATCTCAAACTCCATCGCCCAACCTATGTGGGCCAAGTACAAAAATGGATTCATCCAGAGGAAACTCACTGACCGATCAACGTCCAATTGCCCCTGGAATTTCAGAAACTGGTATTTTTTTATACAAACTTGCTTTAGAGAACGTTTTTCGAAACATTTTATTTTATTTAAAGCTGACCAGCCACGTGGACCCTCACCCCAATTGAACTTTTGCGATGCCAATCCCATGCAAGCCATTTTTGAACACACTCGCGGTCCCTTGCCAAATCCCGGACAACTTTTGTCCATGAAGATTCCATTTCACCGGAACGTCAAATCATCCTTAAGTTTCCCATTATTTCCATTGAACGGTCAGCGTCGATGGTCAGAAGCTGCCGCCGGTGAGGTAATAGACGGGATCTCTACAGATCCCGAAAGTCAGATGAGGAGGTGGTCAATGCCATGGGAAGCATCAAAAACTGACAGGAACACAGTGACATGGAACCAAACCAGAATAATGCCAATGAATACTTTGAAGACATCTTGCTATAAAATGTCCAGTTCTGAACGATACACCTCGCATAATTCAGGTTTATCTTCAAAGCATTTGTTTGTCATTTACAGATTCTATATAAAAAGCCTTTTCATTGCAGATGGAAATTGGCCATTGGCCTCGACCAGTCAAGATGGGCTGTTAGAAGCTATTCAACTACTGTCCATTAGACCGACAACCGTAAGCCAAATAAGTCCTCAGCCGTCGATTCTGTCGACTTCGCCAGATGGAGCACCACTTGACTAAATATTATTAATAACTAAAATAGAAATAATAATCAAACAAATTATACTTTCAATTAATCTCAACTAGACAAAAATATATGCACATTTGATACCTTGATTGTTTTATTTATACTGTCAGGGGGATTAAATTATCATCTTTAAGGAAGAATAAAACCTGAATTAAAAATAATTATGTTAATCTACTAGTAAAATGATTTATTCGTGCTTTGTAAGTTTGTTATGTATAATGCCATTCATTATTAGTAGGTAGATCTTACACGCTTATGTAAAGTAATTCTTTTTTATCGAAATTATAACACTAATGAGATATTTTCTATTTCTTAGGCCTATGAACACTTATAATTAAAATAAAAGATACATTATGTTTTATTATTATGTCCATAATACGATCCAAATTTTACGGGTATTGCGCACATAATTGTACATACATACATATGTATAGGGGCATACATACGTATAAACTTACAAAAGATTTATTAATATTATTACTACTTTCATTTTTTCCCGCTTTAAAAGATTATTTTTGTATCATACAGTTCTTTTATTTTTTGTTTAATTTTCTTTTAAGTCTATTAATATGTTATTGTTTGATTATGCATCTAGAGATATTTCTACTAATAATATGGAGTCTAAGTATTTATTTTAGATAGATGGATTTCATATAACCAAATCAAATCTTAAAACTTTAAGTAATTATTTAAAAAAATCAATTTAAATGGTGGAGATAACAAAAACAATTAATCTTAGTTCTTGGTCTTATTTAACAATCAATGATAAGATATAAAACCATCTAAAATTTACATTTATGTAAAGTTTCCATTACATGTGCTTTGTACATGAACTCATAGAAAAGTTTAAATTTAATGATAACTCAGGAAGCTTATCTTCCAGACCGATGATTCATATTACTAAATTATTTAGAGTTATAAGTTATTTTATATTCAGTGGTATACCTATTATGAAAACGTATCTACAATCGTTGAACGATATTGCAATATGTATTTATGTATTTTATGATTACAGGAGGGTATATACTGTATTCATTTAAGTTTTCTTTACGAAATTACTAAGCTTTCTTCAGCAATGAATTTGAATGCTGATCTATCATTTTGTCCATAGTTTATCTTTGTATATTTCCACTGCCCAGAATGAGAGAAAGAATACCAGTTCTGATAAAACTTAGGAGATGTTTCCTTTCCAAAAAAAAATGATTCAATTGCTTTTTCTCTTTGAGGTGAACTGGTTCATAGACCACGAGAAAAGGGCCTGAATTCGAAATAGTACCTATGGTGCAACTTTAGAGAATTATATTACCGTACTTTCTAGATTCTAAATATTCGTTAAAGAAGATTTTTAATTTTATCAACAGTTACTACGCTTATACGATTTAGGATATGAGTACTATAGTTATCCTATCGCGATATGTTAAAAAATTTCTCACCACTCTGGGGAATAACAATTTCGTAACTAATTATTAAATAGAAAACAAGTTCTGTCAAGAAAGCGAGTTTCCCTTGTGTGTTTGTCTATTAATTCACAACTTATGGAAAGATTATACCGTCAGATTCAAACAATATGGGGGCTATGGGGATATGCATCGTATAAACGTGGTAAATGTTTCTTTCTGCTGTTCGACATTTTCACTGCCAATAAGAAGATGTATTGAGAATACTTGTGCTTATGTACATATATCTTTTGTGCAATTACACGAATTTCGGTTTCCCTAATTTTATTCGATTTAATTCTCCGATGAGTATTTCTAATTCAAGGATCTACTTTCGTATTCTTTATGGTATGACGTTGTTATTCCTTATCGATATCAGCTAGTTTACGCTGATTTTTTAGATCTGTTTTGAGAGTAATTATGATGTAAATCCGGTACTCAGTTCATGGATCGGGCTAACGGAATGGTGAGTATAACACTTTTTGCTCAGACCAAAAATGTATTTGCTTACGAAATAATAAGGGCATTTGTTTTAAAAACTCTTATAATTTGTTTAAATATTTCTGATAGTTAATCTCAAGAGAATTAAATGAAATCTGGTCGGAAGTATTATAAGCATTTACTTTAAGTGAACTTTTTGTAATATTATTATTCCAGTAGCAATGAAGGAAAAATGATAATAGATCCGTTTTATGTCTTAAACCATTGCGGAAGTACATTCATAAATATTCTATTGAGAGAAGTATTCTATTGAGATTTCAATACATTTAATACGATTTCTTAATGTACATACATGTAAATTTAATTATTTGCTAAAGTTTTAGTAAGGCACCATTTAAATTATATTTGCAAATAAACGCTACTCATTATTTCTTAGACACTAATGATGGGATAGAACACTAACATAAATGTAAAAAAAATAATTCCATAGACAGTTGGAGATATTCTAATATTGCTTGAAATGCCCATTTTATATTCCATATCAATATCGAGAAGGAGATCGTGATTTCGCGTGTAAAACTGATGAATATCGCTGATCTAAAGAGGGATTTAAAGCCAGTTTAAAAAGAAATCTTATATTTATGAAATCAGTAGTTCCATACCTCGTTCCACCCATATTTGTTTTTGGCCTGTACAATCGCCTCATAGACAGCGTTGTGTTCCAAGTTCTTGACGAGATACGACATCAGGAAGTGAGATCCATCTGTTCTAATTGGCGTTGGCTTAATGTGGTACTCATGCCACTTGCCAGGATGTTGGTAGGTTTCATTCATCTAAAGTGTTATTTTAAATAAATCACTTGGCATAAGCATTTAGAAATGTAATAGGAAACATACCAACAAACGGCGGTACAAGAGCTTTATCTCATCCAGAGGGGGTATGGACTCAATTGTCCACGTCAAGTTATAGTGATCTAGGAATCCACTCAAAGCTGGGGAAATGAAATCAGCAGGTCCCGGTCGTCCAGATACTTCGATATATTTCTTTGTCCTTCCCAAAGCATTATCAGCCACACAGCTATAGTTGCCGAAATCCGTTGGTTGGAAGTTTCGAATGATGAGACTGTATCTGTCATCGCGGGGATACATAGATCGCCGATCGGTAGCATCAAGTAGGAATGAGTTCTGGTACCACAGCATCTTCGGGATTGTGCATTAACGTATTATGAAGTTTTTTTTTTTTTATTGTTTATTCTTAGTTTTTTTTATGAAATTAAACATTATCACTCGTACTTACCTCCGAGCTCACATCACCATTTACGATGCAAACGAGCTCCACGTCGTATCCTTCGGATGCATGGACCCAGGATTTCTCCACCGTTATTTCGGGGGGAGCTGGACAAAATGTGTTAATTTTCAATATTAGTTAGTACATTATGCATTCTAAGTCAAAGAAACTGTATCTTACAGAGAATAGTGAGCTGTATGTCCATTGATACGCGATCTTTTACCCCGTTGTCGGCAGAACACTGATATGTGCCTGCGTGATGTCTGTCCACGTTCTCCAATATAAGTGTTGAGCTATCCGATAAGTGAGTTGGTCCCGAAAAGACATCTTTCTTGAACCAGAATATGGTGGGCACCGGATTGCCAGACGCCTTGCACTCTAAGGTGACAGTGCTTCCCTTCCTAGCAGTCACTTGGCCATTATGTGGAAGAGCCCTTAGTGTGGGCGGTACTGTGAACATACATCAAATATTTACAGTAAAGGAAGAACTTAGTTACCGAGCGAGAAAAACATACCCAATATTTCAACTGTGTGCACTTGGTCACGGTTTTCCTGATCACCGAGCTGGCATATATAGTCTCCAGCGTCTTGGGTCTTCACTCCATTAATCTGCAAGTTGTAGTCCCCCACAATCTTAAATCGTTGATCCCTTGTTATCTTTAAGTGTCCGGCTGTGAGCACCGACGATCCCTTCCGCCACAGCAGCACAAACGAGCCGAGGTTTTGTACTTTGCAGGGCAACTCGATGGTTTCCCCAACGATGACCTTGTACAAGTGACCCCTGGATAAGAATTTTGGCGCCGTTGTGGGAGGGTCATTCTCTGGCAATATGAAAGAGCCATCTGCAAAAGGTGCAAGGGTTTGGTGTTACTTCTTAAATAATAATAATTTACTCTGAAATTCGGACTAAATTTAATACAGCAAGCTTAAAATTTACCTCTTTGTTGAGACACCCATTTTTGTAAAATGTATTTTCTTATATTTGTAATATTTTTGTTTTACTTACCGATATAAGAAAGTGATATAGAAAACAGGTAAAGAACAACCGGCCAGTATCTCCTTGAAAAGTTATTCTGAAATTGGTAAATTATATGCACATTTATTTATACTGGGTGATTAAAGATATCGAGTTACCCGAATAAGGAAGGAGGGGAGAGAGGAGATTTTTTTTTCTTTATCGCACTATTTGGAAAATGTCCATTTAAGAAAATGTTAATGCTTGAAGTATAGTATGTATGAACTATTTGATAAATATAATGTGGTATTAATGAAATTCGAGCGCCGAAGATGTAAACCAAACTAAGAGATACCTATTACTCAGGAACAAGACGTATACCGAATACACCAGCAACAAGAAAGCAGAAATATTTAAGTATCTCGAACAATAAAAATTCCTTTCTTGATTTATAACGATAAGATAGTTAATATAGCTACCTTTATGCGATGTGGGAATTTCGTTGAAAACTTTTTTTTACATTTTAAGAGTTTGAATCAAGTGAACTTTAGCAAATTTTAATTATTTTATTGGTCAATTTGGCAAATCATTTCTATGTTTTAAATGGGACAGATCTGTAGTGTTCGTATACTTGATTTTAAGGTTCCTTTTTATTTTGGGAATTAGAACTGACGTTCCCGCTTAACTCTGTATCAAGCTTAAATGCTTTTAAAAATAATCAATCAATCTGTATAATGAAATTCCAATTAAAAAAAAGTAATTAGAAAAGGGTTTTAAATAAAAAAAAACTATTCAGTCCGTCATTGGCATGTGGTAAGGAAGGGGGTGTGGCAGATATGTAAAAAGAATTTGAACTTATGTTTCTTAATACGAGCAGTCAAGATAGTATTGCAACTTGAGTACATCATCTACATATATAGGATCAAATGAGCTTATCCATTTTACGACCTTTTTTTATTTAACGGTTTTATATATTCCAGTTTTAATATTGTTGAACTTATGATTATATAAAACGGATTGCCTATTTCTATAACGAAATAAAACATCAACTATCCCAAAAGCTCTTAGAGAAATTCGGTTATCCCGCCCTGATTTTCTCCAGTTGGAATCCATTATCAACTGTAAAATCCAATCAACTGTTTAGCACTTGTCTCTGTAAGGTCTGCACTATATAATACATATATGTCTGTATATACTACACAAGGTACATCTAAATTTCGTAGGCATACATAAAAAGAAACTAATCAATATGTATGCCATTAAAGAATTCAATAAAATCTTTAAATTCATTAATACCTTCAGATCCATACTGAGGAAGTGTGTATTATAATCTTTTTAAATTAATCACGAATACATAAGTGTGTCTGTATATATAGACATCAACTTATATACACCCACATACATAATATATATACACGGACTTAGACATAAAGGGCTACGATTAAGTAAATTATTGTAGTTGGAATTGCTTAATCGGCCACTAAATTGTATTTTCAACTCAGGAAAAACTTTCTTTTTACTCTCGATTTTTTTATCACTCCTAATTTTTCAGGCACCCATTTTCATCCTTACCATTTTAATATGTATATACGGTATGTTCTTTTTTCGGTTTTATTTTTATTAAATTAACCAGTTTTTGGTTTTCCGTTGACTTATTAACACGGCCCGATTCACTTGCACACAACACTTTATTTTTAGTCAGATTAAGATCATTTTTCGCGTTTCTTATAAAATTGTCTCGAATTCAAGACTGGCGAGTATAATTGTATTTATCCTTAAAAGTTCCATTTAGTGAGCGCATGCCCAGTCCAGGATTATTTTATGCCAAAAGCTTTTTGAGCTTTTGATGCAAGGCAATATGAGCAGGTTTATTTGTGATAACTTTAAAAAAATATTCAAAATGTTTATAAATTTTATTAAGACTTAATAGTTTTCTCCTTGTCTCAAACTATAAAATCTTTCTTAAATAAATACATATTGATAATTACAAAGGGTTGTACTTTTCAATGTAATAAGTTTTTAAATACTTGAAATGTTTTTTTTAACTATATTAAAAGTCTTTAAATAATTTAAAAAAAAGACATTGATTATTGCTAAATATAATAAATAATTTACAGAACAAAAGTAATTTTTAAAATGCTTTTATAATATAATACGCTCTTATGAAGTTTAATATATGTGTGAAAATTAAGTTGGAATCTTGTTATCGATTAATAACAGTTTCTGGATTGGCCGATATATCGGCATTAATTGAGAGAGTTTATATGGCCCATCCCTATTTTGAGATAATGCAGTATTTTTTATTTACGTGTAATAATAATGATTCGATGAAAGGAAGTCGACCATGATAATGTTACTGTAAGAAATTCCACCTTTAAACGGGCTTATTTACTAACATGTTTCATCCGCAGTCTCTGGTTGTTGTTATCCCTTGTGTTGGTGTCAGTGCTCTCATTTATTTCCCTGAGGCAATGGTTGCTAAGCCGGAAAAAAAAGATGCACACATCGTCGGAAAATAGCATTAACGTTGGCATTTTCCATCCTTACTGCAATGCAGGTGGCGGTGGTGAACGAGTTTTATGGTGCGCCGTGAAAGCGCTGCAGGTAATATCAGAGAAAAATCTTAAACTTCGTGTCTTTAATGGTACTAATCCATGATCATATGATCCTTTACTCAGGTAAAAACCTTTGAAATAACGGTCTTAATAATGCCGAAATTGTTCATTTAAATTTCATATACTATCGGGTATTCTCAATATAAGGAGAGGAGGTCAATATAGTTGACGATTTTTAATTATTTTTCGTATTATATTTTTCACTGATCAGTAAACTTATCTTTTTATTTTGAAATTATACTTTTAAAGGAAAAATACCAAAATGCCAAGTTGGTAATTTACACCGGCGACATAGACGTATCTCCCAATTCCATATTGCAGAAGGCCAAGAATGTCTTCAACATCGCCGTTGATAGCGACAATGTCAAATTTGTGTTCCTGAAGCAACGTCATTGGATCGAGGCAAAGAACTATCCGCACTTTACTTTGCTTGGTCAAAGTATTGGATCGATGGTTTTGGGTCTGGAGGCGCTCTGCAAGTTTCCACCAGACATTTTTATTGACACCATGGGATATGCTTTTACGTTTCCTCTGTTTCGCTATTTGGCGCAGTCCAAAGTGGGCTGCTATGTCCACTATCCGGTTATCAGTACGGATATGCTGAAAAGAGTTCAGCAGCGGCAGATGTCGCACAATAACAAGAAGTACGTGGCAAGAAATCCTTTCCTTACTTGGACTAAACTGGCATATTACCGACTGTTTTCAAAGGTGAGCTTGGAAAATCAAATATCCACAACTTTACAAAATATTTTCATTATTTTAGATGTACAAGTGGGTTGGTTGTTGCGCCGAGACTATAATGGTAAATTCATCATGGACCGAGAATCATATTCTTCAGCTGTGGGATGTACCATTTAAGACTCACCGCGTTTACCCTCCGTGCGAGGTGAGCCACCTTAAAAATCTCCAGCACACGGGGAAGGGCGAGGACTTCGTTATTTTATCTGTCGGCCAGTTTCGTCCAGAGAAAGATCATCCCCTTCAACTGCAAGCTATATACGAACTGAGAACGCTTTTGGTCCAGGATGAAGCTCTTTGGAATAAAATAAAGCTAGTCATTGTGGGCTCCTGCCGAAATGAAGAGGACTATGACCGGCTGAAGAATATGCAGGACTTGACTAAGCATCTGTCGCTAGAGAGCAATGTTCAATTTAAGGTGAACGTCGCCTACGACGATTTGCTTAAGCTGTATCAAACCGCCCATATTGGCATTCATACCATGTGGAACGAACACTTCGGGATCGGAATCGTTGAGTCCATGGCGGCTGGCCTTATAATGGTAGCCCACAGGTCCGGAGGACCTCTCCTTGACATTGTCGAAACCTCCGAAGGAAGTCAGAATGGATTCCTCGCTACTGATGCAGTGGAATACGCAGAAAACATACTAAATATCATTGTTAATAACGAAGAAATGGCCGGAATCCAAAGTGCAGCAAGGTAAGAAAAACCATCACCATTTCTAGAATTATTACGTTTTTATAAACAAATTTTCTTTCTTAGATCTTCCGTGGAAAGGTTTTCTGAGCAGGAGTTTGAAAAAAACTTTCTGAGAGCTGTTTCAACATTGTTTACAAAGGTTTAAATGAGAATAAAATAATATGCACCCCAAAAAGAGACCAATTGAAATTATTTGGTGTCACCTTACCCAAAAACTGAAAGATCTCCAACTGAATTCATTTATTATATATTACATAATATTTAAAGCGATGGTTTCGCGATGAATTTTTAAACCAATGCTTAAGGAGTTGTTTTGCTTACTTTACAGAACCGGCAATAATCTCTGAGATTAGGACCAAACCCGTAATAGTATTCTAAAAATTTTATAAAAGTTTCCTCAGGAGTTCTTTAATTATGGGATACGGCAATGGAATTATATAATTACCTAGTAATAATCGCAGAGTCTATCCAAAATCATGTAACTAATGAATTCCAACTAATGCTCCATAACTTATTCACTAGATTATATAAAAATAAAAATCGCATAGAGCAACAGGAATATCTCATGGTTGTCCACCTTCTGTCATTCGCCAGCCAGGCTAGCCAGAAGCTCCTCGTCGATGCCATCCCCTGATGGCATTCCCGCCGTGCCGCTCAAGTTGAGGAGCCCATCATTGCATGGCGGGGGCGGTGGTGCCGGCGGCTTGGCCTCCGGCTCCGCCAATCCAGTCGCACTGGCAGAAGCTCCAGGTATCGAAGAAGATGTTCCCGATGCAGCCAGATCCGCGTTGCCACTTGGAGTACTGCGTCCGCTGGTTGTACTGCCTCCGCTTCCTCGCTGCGACAGCTTTGGGATTTGAAATTTATTGTGCAGGCCCTTAATGAAACCCTCCATGCTGGCGGCCATCGTTGGAGAGGCATATTGGAGGATGGTCATCATATCCGTATGGTGATCAAATCGCGGCGGTGGCTGCGACATGGAACCGCTGAGGGCCGGCGAGACTGCGCCTGATGATCCGCTGGGCCCTGCCGAAGTGGAGCTGGACTTTCGCTGAGTACTTCCGCCACCACTGCTACCGCTGGCCAAGGCTCCCATACTGGGACGTCGCCTCGGGGCGCTATGCTCTTGGAAGGAGTTTGTGCTGTTGCTTTTGGTCAGAGGAATTCCTCCGCCGGCACCCGATCCGATGAGCTTGCTGCTTAGATTGCCCGAAGAGTTGGCCTTTTGAAAGAGATGCTTGCTGGAAGATGTTGCAGCGGCCGACGTTGCTGCTGTGGCCTTCTTGGAAGCGGGTCCGCTGTTAACGCCTGGCTTGAGGCCGGTGTGTTGCTTCTTCGTGGAACTTGAGGATCCTGCAAAGCTTGGCGCACTACTACTGATGCTTTTCGCCTTAGCTTGGCCGCCAGACGAGGAGCTAGAGCCGGGGGCAGAGCTCTTGCTGCTGCCCGTCTTGTTGATGGTCAGTTTTAGGCCTTCCTGGCTGCTGGGCTTAACCATGTATTCTGTAGAGGCCCCAGCCGGAGTGCTGCCCCCAGTGCAGTCGCTGCTGCCCCCGCTGGTGACCAAGCAGCTACTAGTTGACGCTGCTCCCGGCTGTTGCTGTTGTAGCATTGTTGCTGTTGCCAGAGTTGCTGCTGTTGTTGCTGTTGCCGGACCCTGACCCACTCCCGCTGAGACTAGAGGCGCCAATGACGCCGCTGCTCCCGCTGCCACCGTTGTTGTTGCTGCCGGGATTGTTGGCGCTAAAGCTGCTGTCGACGTCATCAAACTAACCTGACAAAGTAAGCATGTGGTTGTGTGTGTTTTAGGGTACAAACGAACCAAAAATTAACCGGAAAAGAACCAAAATAATAACAATCAATCACGTGTAATAAAAATTAAATAGGGATTTCACAGCCATTTGCAGAGTCCCAACGGAAAGTGGGTGTGGATTTCGTGTGGGGCGATAAAACAGACAGAGAAAAAGGAAGAAAAAACAAGAGAGGACCCCGTTAGTAATTAGCTTAATAATAAGGCGAGAAACACCGTTTATTTAGTGGAAATTAAAAGAAGTGCAAGAAATTAGCAAAATTCATTACAAATCTAGGGGATTCACAAAAGATACTCTTAGTACAATTAAGAAAGAACTTAATTACAATCAAACTGAGATATAACGTAAACGGAAATGCCATCAAATGCTACGAAAAAATTCGTTAAGATATCAAATTACACAGGGCAGCTCTAGGGAATTTGATAGCTTTGAACTGAGCTTGCACGCGGCTTTGAAGCACACGAACCGACTGACTTGGCTATATCGACTAGCCATGTAATGTTGATGCAGAAGAAATCCATATATTGGGTTCTACATTGGATATCCTTCGCACGCCAATAATTCAGGTATAACCGAGAATAAGTCAAACCATTTTTATAAGCGCATGAAAAACTCAATAAGATTTCGTAAGATTTCTACAAGCAACATGCAGGCTGATCAACGATACAAGACAAACATTTACATACGTGCTCGATGCAGGAAAAGAGGTTAGACCTTGCGATTTTATAGGCCCCATTACCGTGAAATAGATTTTAGTCGAAAATAAAACGGATGCAGTAATATATGACAAATAATAGGATAATATATATTTACAAAAATAAGAAAGCCAAACGAGACACAAACAAAAATAATAATAATAATAAAAATAGCACTAATCATAATTATTTTCAACTACAACAGAGGTAGGCGAATTACAAATCGTTTTTATAGCTATGATAAATTTGCATTTGCATTAGTTTAATATAGGTTCGCTCTAATTTGGATTCTGCATTGGTTAAGAGAGTCTACTACGTGTTAGGCTTCCGGTGGGAGATGCTGGGGGTGGGTTGGTGTGGAGCACTTATAATGAAAACGGACTTACCGCACCTCCCGCCATGCCTTTGCGCAGGGTATTCAGCTCCAGTCCGGAAGCCCCCGCTCCAGCGCCAGCTCCAGCTCCCACCACCACTGCTGCTGCAGCCGATCCGCCCGCTCCCGAAGACGCCGTATAGCTTCCCAATCCTCCGCCCGCAGCGAGGTGCGAAAGACTGGCGACAGACTTCATCTGCTGCTGAGAGGATTTCAGGGCAGCCACGGCTGCTGCCACACTAGCCGGGGAAATGCCTCCGCCAGATGACACAGTCGCAACCGAGGATGATGTGGAAGTGGAACCGGATCCGGAAGAAGATTTCTCCTTTTTTAAGCTCTGGCTGCTGCCGCTAGCGCTGGCTAATGGAGGGATTGGCGGTGGTGGTGGCGGTCCTCCAACACTTGCAAAAGACCGCACCAGACCGGGAGTCCCGCCAGATCCCGAGGATGCAGACGGTCCCGTTGATGTGGCTCCAATACTCGAAGAGGATTTATCGCCTTTGGGACTTAAGATGGTGGCGGCTGTAGCTGCGCTTTTTAAAGTAGACATGCTTGGCTTTCCAGAGGAGCCGTGTTTGGGCGAATGTGTGCCGAACGGAGACTTCGGGCTATTGGAGGCAGTGTTATGTTTCGGGCTGCTATATACGGGCGAATGCTTCGGGCTAGGACGCGCAGTCGGCACTCCCGGCATCAAGTTCTGTCCAGCACCACCTGCTTTGGGCGACGAGGAGGGCGAGGAGAACTTACGAACCACTCCACCAGTCGTGGAGGCATCTCCGCCAGCTGCTGGTGAGTTTTGACGAGAATAAATCTTCTCCGGCGGACCCATGGGGGAATCGTCGCGCTTCTTTTTGCGCTTCTTCTCCTTTTGCGTGTCCGAGGAACCGCTGCTGGTTGAGGATGACATAGAACCGCCAGAACCACTTCCACCAGACGTAGAGGAACTACTACTTTCATGGGGCCGCTTTGCAGCCACACTAACACAAGTAGAGGTAGAGCTACTCTTTTTTGACGAATCCTTATTGGTGTCTTTGCCTGTTATGGGGGTAATTGTAATGGTCGTAGGCGTTGCACTGGATTGGGCTGCTGCACCTCCTCCGGCGACAGCAGCCTGTGCATTTAGTGGGATAATTTCAATGCTTCCCGTGCGCTGAACCTCAACGCCGGGGACTGCCCCAGTTGTCCCCGCAGACTTGCCGTCCCCTGGGATGGGAGTGATACTAACGCAATGCTTTAAATTCGGAGTCTTATCCTTCCAGATATTCTTATACTTGTCAGCAATATCATGATCGCTCGTCTTAGCGGCACTGGAAGAACTGGAATTCCCACTGACCGTTGCGCCACTGGTGGAACTACCAGATTGCGGATCCGTTTCGCGCTTCAGGTTAATCAGTCCCGCAATGGCCGCTGCAGCCGAAGTGGATGCTGCAAAAGCATCCGCTAGAGATCGCGACTTAGCTTCCATTTTAAGGTTGTTGATGTTGGCGAAACCGCCTCCGGAAAAACTTCCATCAGTTGGCGGCGCGGAGTCCAATGTAAACTGGTTAAAGCTATTGCCTCCGCCTGAGACGGGTCCACCGCCCATGCCTCCACCGATTGCTCCTGAACCCGAAGCACCCGCTCCAGGGCCAATTACCCCATGCAGCTTGAATTCATGCTCCTCATCCCAGCACTTAAGCAGCTTGTAAATAACCATCGGAATAGATACCACCTTGCGAACGGTACGGGTGAGCTTTTGGGAAAGCAGCTCATATTCGTTTGTCAGACAGTAAACACTACACGTGGGCTGACCGTCCTCTAGTAAAAAATCGACCGTGGCCAGCGACTCCTCGTACGGATGCTGCAGTTCGACAGTGATTTGGTTGAAGGAGACCGCGGTTACCTCCAGTATCACAGTGCTGTCCATGTCTACATATAGTTTAAAACTGTAAGAGTACAACTTTAAACGAAATCAATCTATCAATCTTACCATTATACTGCTTTTGTTGCTCGCGTACGCAACTGGCGAGCAAGGTGTAGAAAAGAGCCTGTTTTTTGAGGAACGCCACAATCCGCGGCACTTGGGCAGGCTCGGTGAAGGGCAGTGAAGTCACTAGGGTTCCCTGTAGTTTTCGGTTGTCGGTGAAGAAGTAGCAGTGCGTCTCCTTCGGCAGATTTACGTATAAGCCGCGCTGGGTGTTCTTGATGGCTTGTTTGGAAGCAGTCTGCACAATCAGATTCAACACTGTGCTGGGTGGGCTTGGTGGTGTGGAAGTTGCATCTATGCCGGGAAGTCCGAGGGCCTTTAGAGATTCAAGACACACGGGCATGGGCTTGTTTAGTCGTAACACGTACGTGGCAGGCATCAGCAGTGAGTTGTTTTGATTGAGTTGAGCATACGTGGGAACTTCCAATCCAGTCTGTGCATCGCGAGCCAATGTAACAGTGGGTAGGGTTTGCAGCTTGTTAGCTGAGGACCCCTCGAGGTTGACGGTGGCACTCAGTCCGTAACTGCTGCGCATTACCTGATCGATGGTGAAGTCGCCACTGGCCAATTTGGGATCACTCTCGGGCAAATGAAGCGGCGGGCAAAAGTAAGTGAGCTTCATGGGATGGCCACCGCGTCTCGGCAGCACCAGACCCACGGCGGAGCTAGACATCAGAGAGTAGCTGTCGCCGGAGTGAGCCTGCAGATGCAGTTGATAGAGAGTCTGGATGTCCGTCTCCATGGCTTGGAGAGCCACAAAAGCCTTCTTTTTCACCTTGGGTTCGGCGTTCAGCTGATAGATGGAAGACAGACCCTCTAGTTGGACCGTAAAGTCGGCGAAGTCACCGGACTTGAGGCACGCAACCAGCTCGCTAGACTGCTGCTCGATTTTGCACTCGTGGTGCACTTTGACGTCCGACAGGCTTCCCGTGGCGTCCAACAAAATCTCGACGTAAAACATATCCGTGGAGATAAAGAGCAATTGCTGGTCTTCCATGAATTTGAGTCCCAACTGGCGCGACAGGCTCTCAAGGCGTTCAACAAGTCCATGACGAGATGTTACCTTAATGTAGTGCTGTAATTTATCTAGCGCCGACTGCAGCGTGGCCTTGCACAGCGGGTCAAGGGGGTAGTGCTTCTCAATGAAGTACATCCGCACCGACTTCTTGATCTCTTCGTAGCTTTTCGGCTTACTCCGGTACTTGGCTCGCAGCTTCTCCATCATGGTCTCCTGCTGGATCTGCTTGTTTTTCTCCTCTATACTAGGTATGTGACTGCCGAAGCCTGATCAAAGGGGTGTTAGTATTTCCCCAAATCGAAATTAATCGGATGAAAAACGGTACTCACCAGTCCCCGAAGCCTTCGCATTAGATCCGCTCATCGTTCTGACTTATGGTAATTTTTATTCGCTTAGTGGTGCTCTGGCATTTTCAACAATAAATTAGATTGTAAAATGCGGTTTTCACATCTAAATACGTATTTAAAAACCTTTCATTTCTGTGTACCTCTATCATGCCGAAAAAATTCAACGCCAATACAACAAAATGGCTGTTTTTGCTCTATGTGGCTGGATATATGGCCACACAATTCTCGAATAACATATTTTTATTTGACCAGGGTATTCCTTTTATATCCGATTCCCACTAAGTCAACTTGTTTCCTTCTATTTTATATAAGTAAACGAGCCCCTTCTGTACTTGATGATTAAAAATGTCACAAAAAGCTTGAATGTATAAATTTTTTGTCATCAGGTTTTGTGTTCATTGCCAAATACAACGCTATACCGTTTAGTTGTCTGTAGGATACAACAACAAAAAGGGATGCTTTAGTATATGGTAATACTCAGCGGATATCAGATACATGTTACCCATTAGCTACAAATACTTCTGTGCAGTGCGTTATTCCTAGGTATGTTGGAACTGGATACTGCAATGTCCCTTTCTTGAAGATTAGTCTTAACATGACCTGAGTCACAATTGGGAAAGTTATGCTAATAGTTTATCGTTGCACAAAGCAACAGTGTATTAGGTAACTGGAAACGCATCTACCTGAATAATTCAAAAACCTTCATTCGTTTGATTAAAAATTGACCTGCTTGGAACTGCTACCAGATATATGATTACGGGGCGCCGTCATAAAACTTAAGTGTACATCTGTTGGAAAAGCCTTTGGTTTTTAGGTTTCCGGTCCAGGTAACTAAATAGCCATCCCTACTTATGGAAAGTTGAATCATTTATATATGCCTGATGGCATGTCGTTTAAAATCAGTACAAAAAGAACATTTGCCATATTCAGATCTATTGAATACCTTTTTATATAATTTGCGTGTTGGTGTTCTTAAACATTAGAATTTTTAAAATAAAACATTAGCAGAAAAGGTATTGAAAGAACACTTAATAATTAAAATTCCGCCGTTTCATTTTATTTTAAAGAAAACTGAAGCCAACTTGGCCCAATTTTTTAATTTAAAATAAGAACTCAAATCAAAACAGAACTGACTTGTTATAATTTGCTCAATGTTATTTAGCAATTTCAGATAAATGGAGGCGTCACTGTGTCGTGTATGCTTGGAGATCGTCGAAAATACGGTCAACATTTTCGAGGCAAAACATGAATCGGGCATATCCATCGCGAATATTATTTCATATTGTACGGGAATTGAAGTTGTAAGCGGAGATCATTTACCCGCCGTCATTTGTGGAATCTGCCTTCAAGATGCACAAGATGCATTTGATATTATTGAAACTTACGAAAGAAGTCATCAGTTCTACTGCTTCTTTAATGATGTACGGCAGGAGGAAAGCGAGAGTGCTGAGTGTAATTTTTTTGGGAATGAAACAATCAAGGAATACGATTTAAACAACGAGATGGTAGAGCAGAAGGTTCCTGGCGGAATAGATCAGTACGGGTCCAACGCGAGTACTGAGAGAATTCAAAATAATTTGGAAGATACTACTTTCGGGGAAGATTACGTTTTTGGTAAAAATGAGAATTATAAGAGTAATACAGACCATGAGCTTAGTATTGATAATAATGATAATGCTAACACAGACGAAGGACCATTTAAGTGTTCTCAATGCTCTAAGGATTTTAGCGGAAAAGAAAATCTTGACCCCCACTTGCATGCAAGCTGTAAGATTCACTTGAAAATCCACATTGAAAGCCTACGTTTTAAGTGTTCCCTCTGCTCAAAGAGATTTGTCAAAAATGCAACTTTAAAATCACACATGCGAACCCATACCGGAGGACAGCATTACATATGTTCTCTTTGCTCTAGACCTTTTACAATGGTATCGAATCTTAGGCGGCACATGTTAACACACACCGGAGAACGACCATTTAAATGCTCTCTCTGTTCGGCGGGTTTTACAACTAAAGAAAATCGTAATCGGCACTTGGTATTGCATACAAGAGAAGTATTTTCCCGACGCTCAAAAAGTCTTCAAACTAGCCGACAGTTTAAAACTCGAAGACGACACCCAAAAACAAAAGAACGTCAATGCAGTATTCAGTGTCCCTACTGCTCAAAACCATTTGCGAGTCTTTCACAATGCCAGAGACACGTGCGAACCCACACTGGAGAAAGGCCTTACAAATGTCCCCAGTGCCCAATGGCTTTTGCATTAAAGTCGAATCTTAAGAGACATTTGTCAGCGCACACGGGAGAACGAGCCTTCAAGTGCTCCCAGTGCTCGGCGTCCTTTGCATCCAGAGCAAGTCTTAAGCGTCACTTTAACATACACACAACGGAAGAAGCTTACCAATATTCCCGAAGATCAAAGAGAAAACACACCGGAGAACGGCCATTCCAGTGTTCCAAGTGTCCTAAAACTTTTTCGATCTTTCGAAGCCTTAGCCGTCATATGCTAGTGCATACCAGAAAAACACTCAACTGTGTCCATTGCCCAAAGAATTTTGCATATTCTGCTTGTCTTATGCGACACTTACTAACACACAAGCAGCTGCTTGCAATACCCAAGAACGTTAGCAATTATTAATCACTTTTGAACACACTAAGTAGTTGAACGGGCTTAGAATATTGGTGCTGAAAGGGTTTCTAGAAATCCTCTGATCTGTGCTGTTTTATGTATGCACTTTGAATGCCGGCTTAAAAATGCTCTGATAGTTAGTAAACGGAAGAATTAATGCATAATTAGGTTGTCATTACTAATATAATCTGAATACATAGCTCATAATAGCTGCAAATACAATAAAACTTGTATTATTTAATTCCTCTTTGAATAAATTTTAAATAGTTAAGACCTGCGTTTGAACATAAAAACCAAAAAAAGGAAATACTTATAAAATTTTTTACAAAATGTAAGCATAAGAAGTGTAAGAATTTAAAAAAAATATAAAATAAATATGCTAAAAGCTGATTTTTTTGTACAGGTAGAGTGTTGTTTAATTATGGAAAGGGTCTAGCTTCCAGCTAGTCTCAGTGGAGATCTTCGGTAAAAATTTATTTTAACCCTTCATAATCGCATTCTAATAAAGAAAACCATTGTTGTTTTTAAATTTTCACCTTTATTTCATTAATGTTTGCTAATTTTAAGAAACACTTCAACTTTTGTTAACCATTTCCCTTGTTTACTTTATTGTTCAAAACAATCGCCGCCAGTGTGAACATTCGTTTAGTATATTTAAACGTTTCATTTGTATGCTTCCACGGTCATACTTTACTTGCATTATTCACTATTTATTATTTTGTTATTTAGTTGTTTTAGAGCAAAAAGTAAATAAGTTAGCTAAATGACGTCCATAGCAGGAGGTCACGGAGAGGCGAATCCGAACAGCTCCTGGTTAAGTGCCCGCGGATTCTGGCTGGCGTACCTTCTCGGTCTGCTTTCGGTGCACCTTCTATTCTTATCAGTGCCCTTTGTAAGCATTCCGTGGGCCTGGACGGCCACCAATCTGCTTCATAATGCGGTAAGAGGTAAAGGTTCCATCAATCAGCCAATCCTAATCCCTCTACGCCTAGGCCCATCTCTACTTCCTGCACGTCATTAAGGGAGCACCGTGGCTGAGCACTGAGAATGATCCCAGCCGGCGATGGACGCACTGGGAACAGATTGACGACGGCGTGCAAATGACCACAACCCGCCGGTTTCTCACCGCCGTCCCTATTGTGCTGTAAGTGCACGCTATTTTTTAGTTAAAGGAGGAAAAAAACTTTGAGTTATGAAAAAAGTTTATAATTATAAATTATATAAAATTTTAAAAGATTTGCCATATAAAGGAGTATTAATTCTAAATCATATAATGAATTTTCAGTACTTATAGATAATGTAATCATTTTATTATCGTTTTATCATTTATAGATTCTTGCTTACTTGCTTGTATACCAGGAACAATACGGAACACTTTATAGCGAACTTTATATCACTGGTAATAGTTACTCTTCCCAAGCTGCCGCAGTTTCACGGCGTTCGGTTATTCAACATTAACAAGTACTAGACTCTTTCACATCTATCTGGATTTATATTGTTTAAAAAAAATGTATATAATTATATAGCTGGCAAAGCAATCATTGTAAATCATGTAAATATTCTTAAAAGAAAATAATAATTAAAGCTTTTACATCAATATTTTCTCTCCGAACGTATTATAATTTTGGTCCAGGGACTTTTAAGCCTGCCACTCTGCTTCTTTCGCCGTAAAAGATATGGTAATACTTGTGCATATTTGTTGGTTTTATTCAATTTAAGCTTTCCTTTTTCTCTTTTTTCGATATTGGACGACATAATAATAATCAGGTATTTCGATTGAATTTATTTAAATATAAACAAAAATTAATTTCTCAAGATGCATTTTTAACAATACAATCAAGTAACAATATTAGGTTATAATGTTATGATAGAAAATTAATTATTATTAAAAAATATTCTGAAAAATGTCAAAAATAAAATTTAAAAACTGGAAGTAGAGCTGTTAATAAAATATGAAAAAAAACCATTTACTTAATTTATTTTAGATAATTTTATACCCATCATAAATCAATTGCATTACTTTAGAAATAAATATCTTTAAGCACTATGTTTAATCCGCAAATATAAATACACAAACGCTACCTGTTCTTAAATATATTTCCCATGTTGCCCTATACCAGAGCAATCCTAAAAGGTGTTGTTAAACGCAGCGGACTCACCCAAGTCGGACATACTATACGAGCTAAATCCAGCTCAAGCCTCAAGCCAATTTAACCAACTTAAAACCAGAAGAAAGGTAAATTAAAAGCTGCCCACCAGACTGCAAGGTACCAATCGTTCCATCCCGTGTAAGGACGTGCACCTGATCCCATAGGCCCTGCACATCAGCAGCCACCCATGACAAAAATGTAATTGCCAATTCGGTTTTCGAACAGACCATAATAGCCCAATAAATTTCGTTCAATTGATTCATATTCCAGTCACATGCTCACAGATAAATATTTACATAGTTATTCTATTCCAGCGCGGTCCGAAGTCGTTATACAAATTTATAAAAACACATCTCACAATGAGATACTTATTAAAAACCAATATATAAGCTATGCAATTATTGCAAGCAACGTAGTTAATATAGTGTATAGCATATCCTGTGGGCTGACCGTTGTTAATTTATGAGTTTTCCAAAAGCTGAGGATAATATTTAAATGCAACAATATCCCAAAAGCAGTTATTCACGATCATTATTTAGTACCAATTTTGGTTTCCAGCTTTGGTCACACTCCGATTAATTTTTCTTATTTTATCACAATCAAAGTTCAGTAACCAATAGAGCTGGGAAAAAATCGATTTTTAGTGCATCGATTCTTTTCGATCTTTTTCGAAAAAACATCGATTTAATTCGAAAAAATAAAACAATATAATAATTATGGAATAAACAAACGTAAGAAACGAGAAGAGATCACATATTTTTTAAATTATGTAATGTAAACTTAAAAAGAAGAGCTTAAAGAACTTAATAGCTAAAATTCAAACAAAAACTTGTCCATTCTCCGATCCACTTGTCCGATTCTCCGATCCACCAACACACACAACAATTCTAAGGAAGTGTAAAAACTATAATTTAGATATATTTATTTATTTTAAATCCAATTTTTTAATCACTTATTACATAAAAACGAAAAGAAAAGCAAATTAAAATAAAACTGTTCATGATATTCCTGTTCCACTTCTTTGGTATATTGTCCTATTCTTAGTTTGTAAATAAAAACAAAAAAAAAAAATAAACAAATTTTATATCAATGTTTCAATATATTCAATATTCATGGTCCAAAGAAAATAATAGTTCTTTTGGATATTGTGATATCCCTACTATACTTACTATCCCGAACTCTACTATATATGTATATTTGCATATTATTTACATGTTTGTTTTTGTTGTTTTGTTTTGTTAAAGCTCCTCTAGCTTATCGACATCGGTCGATGATAGCCGCGTACGACGTTCATTTATAAGTTGTTTAGCTATAGTGAAAACTCTTTCAGATTCGAAGGAAGAATCCGGATCGCAGAAGTATTATTAAGCTAACGTTTTAAAAACGTACTAACAATTCGTCAATCTTCCTCAATGTGCCTTAGAAATGGAAAAACATCGATGTTGCTCCGGTAAACATCGATGTTGCCAATGTTTCGAAAACATCGATGTCATCGACAGTTCGCATCGACGTTTCTCCACCTCTACCAAACAGTTTGTGATTATTTATTATTCCATTATTTGTCACTTTTAATAATTTGTTATTTTATAAGTATTAAAATGAGTAACAATGAAGGAATATATGATTTACACAAATTGACAAAAGACATTAACATGGCCGTAGAAAAATTTTTAGCACTTCAAAAACCGCTCATATATGTCAGTAAAAAGTACAATTTGAATATTGAGTTCACTAAACAAGAAATCAGCATTGAAATATCAGAAACCATACTAAATCATACTACGGAAATCATTCTTAAGCAGGTCAAAGAAGAGTTAAAAAAGTGCCAAACTGTAATTGATGAACAAAATAACGAAATTTTTGATTTAATAAATAAAGTTGCTAAGTTGGAATCGGATGCTTTAGAAAACGAGGAAAGGCTGCAAATGAAAATTGCAGAGCTGAAATGCAAGGATATAACAAAGATCTCCACAGTGGGTAGTAGTATCTCTAAACCCCCAGAACCCTCGGATTGGATTGTCATACAGTGTCGTAAATCCGGGAAGCTTGACTTCATTACGGAGAATTACTTGTACAACAAGGGATTCGGTGACCCCAATGATGAGTACTGGATTGGTTGCATGAAGTTGCATGAGATTACGAAGGCCCGAAGACATGAACTTTACATCGAACTTGCGGACCGACATGGAAGGGAATCATATGCTCGGTACGATAACTTTCTAGTGGGAAGCTCAGATGAAAGGTATTGCCTTCTGTCTCTGGGAAACTACACCGGAAACGCTGGCGATGCCCTGAGAGATCATGAAAATCACTCATTTGAGTTTGACGGCAACGAGAGAGGTGTATATAAGTCATTTGCTTGGTGGAGGGCCCCTTCACGTTTTAAGTGGTAAGATCATTTTTGATTATTATGGATTTTTTTTAAGTAAATTTTTTATTTTTAGTAATTTAAATGCAAAGTTAATGTTTTGGGATAAAAAAACTGAACTTAAATACTGTAGAATGAGTATTCGGCCAATTAACTAACTGCAATAGCATCAGTTTTCGAATTGTTGAATTACTTAATAAAGTTGCTATAAATAATGTCGTATAACCCAGATACGACCGCTCCGATTAGTGGGTAACTTGTAATATTTTAGATGTGTCTCTTGTCAGCCAATCCCCCTAAGTATATACATATTCTATTTAAGTGACGGCAGCCGTGTGCCCTACCTCTGGCTCTCGATAATGTTGGCGCTTACTATTGTGGGCAGTAGAATGCGGGGGATGGGCAATCGACTTCTGACAAGCTGATTGCCCGGTTTGACTTTGAGGGAGAAGCTCGCGACCCGAACGACTTTGGCTGGCCGTAATCAGTAGAAAACGTTTAGTAAACAGAGGTGTGCCGGATCGCCGCCTTACAGATACCCAGGCAGTTGCTGTCAACCGTTTTAAGGGGAAGGAACGAGGTATACACCTACACTCACCGAAATCGAAATGTCGATTACCCTAGAGGAGGAGATCTTTGGCCTGGCCGTCAATCCCTTCACCAAATCTCCGGAAATGGTGCGCCGGTACACGCTAAAGAACTCCAAGGGCATGTCTGTTTCAGTGATCCAACTAGGTGCAATCATCCAAAGCGTATGCCTGCCGGACGCCTACAAAAAGGTCGATGACGTGTGTCTAGGGTTTGATGACATCGCTAGTTATGTGGCCAACAAGGGAGCCTACATAGGAGGAACTCTCGGACGAGTGGCCAACCGAGTGGGAAACGGCGAGTACACAGTGAACGACACGAAAGTGTCTGTGACCAAAAACATCGATGTAAAATTTAACATTTGTTATTGAGAAACACATTAATGTAAATCTTTGAAACTTTCAGGATAAGTTTCAGCTACACGGTGGCTTCGTGGGATTTGACAGTGTGATCTGGGAAGTGGTTCAGAAGACCTCCGAGGGGGTGGTCTTCCGTCACGTATCGCCACATGGCGACGAGGGCTATCCTGGCAAGCTAACATGCCTGATCACCTACCAGCTCGACAATGAGAATCGGTTGTGGGTCAGATTCGAGGCAACCACAGATCGTTCGACAATGGTCAATCTCTCGAACCATGCCTACTTCAACCTAGCCGGTCACGGTTCTGGAGCAAAGGGTCTGGCGCAGCATACAGTGGAGATAGCTGCCGACCACATCGTTGACACTGATGAACTACAGATTCCCACGGGAAAGTTGGTGGACGTTAAGGACACCGTCTTCGATCTTAGGCTGCCTGTGCTGATGCGAGATCGCCTAATGCAGTTTGAGAACCGCTTGATCAAGGGCTACGACAACTGCTACGTCGTCAACGGAGGTCAAGTGCAGAAAACCGTTGCCAAGGTGGCCAAGATCGTGCATCCGGAATCCTGCCGGGTGCTAGAGGTCTGGACCAACCAGCCAGGCATGCAATTCTACACTGCAAACAATTTAAACTCGATTGTGGGCAAGAACTGCACTCAGTATGTGAAGCACGGTTCGTTTTGCGTAGAGACCGAGAAGTTTCCTGATTCCATGAACCACCCGGAGTTCCCTTCTGTCAGCCTCGAGCCGAATGAGAAGTACCGGCATGAGGTCTGTTACTGGTTCAAGGTTGAAGAGTCCTGGAAGTGCTGTTGCAACAACAATCCCTGAGTGTAGTCTAGATCTCTCTTAAATAAAGGTGGATATTCCACTTTTTCCCAACCCCGAAATAAGTTGATCTTCCTCCTAATTACTCGTATATTGCATTTGTCGATAAGTATATTAGAGGTAGAAGAAGGCGACTCATGAATTGTATGCATTTGTTGAAATCAATAGCCGGTTAATTTAGTCATGAGTGTCATTTTGCCTGTACCTTAATGTGAAAGCTGTGATCCCGGAAACTATATACATATATATAATATAAAGAAACTATATAAATATATAAAAAGGTCGGGATTAAGCATACATATTCTACAGTTGCCTGTACAAGGTTGTTTCAGTCTATTATTGAATTGGCAAAAAACATTTTATGTCCGAATAGTATTTCTTAATTAATTATCATAGGGCAGCGACGTCACTGTCAGTTAATACACATGCCTTGTAAGGTTTTAAAATTGGAGCTAGTTAGGGCGTTAGTTTCTCTTCGAAATAGCGTTATGTGTATCTGATAGAAGCGGTAATATTTATGTACATACGACTTTATTTTGCTTGAACGTGATAGGAAAAGATATGATATTTCATGGTAATAGCTTTTAGTCTGGTGAAAAACACTGCGCCAGACATTATATTTATCTCTCATTGACTTATAATGCTTTCTAATTTATTGTCTACCATTTCGTAAAGTAATTTATTTGAATTTTTTCTGATCTCTTGTTTGGCACGTGTATTTGATATATAAACATTAAACGTAACTAAGTAGACATTAAATCACAACCACAGTGGGCTTGGACATGGCAGTATAGCTGTCTGCTTATTAATTCACAAAATCTGTCGGCAGAGCATCGCAGTCGAAATTTTAGTTATCCCCCTTTAGGTAATTGTCAAATCTCCAAATTTCTGGGACACCTGCAGCCACGACAGAATGGTGCGTGTGATCGAGGACATGTTCGGCATCGCCGTTAATCCGATAACACAGAAGACGGATCGGATCCGGCGTTTCACGCTGAGCACGGAGCGCGGTATGTCGGTGTCCATCCTGACGATGGGCGCCACTATTCAGTCGCTGAAGGTGCCTGACTTCAACGGTAAGTTGGAGGATGTGTGCTTGGGCTACGACGACGTGGCTGGGTACTACCGGAACCAGCCGAATTACTTCGGATCCACTATCGGCCGAGTGGCTAATCGCACAGCCCACGGGCGCTTCAAGCTTTGCGGCAAGGAGGTGAATGTGAGCCGGAATGTTCGGGATCGGTACCACATGCACGGCGGATTCGTGGGCTTCGACAGCGTCATCTGGGACGTGGTGGGTGTGCACAAGGACGGGGTTACCCTGCAGCACATTTCACCGGACGGACACGAGGGCTATCCGGGCGAACTTACAACTAATATTAACTTTTCACTAAATGAAACTGGCTGCTTTGGAATGCGGATCGAGGCGCGGACGAAGGCCACTACGGCGGTGAATATCTCGAATCACACCTACTTTAACTTGGCCGGACAGGGGGCGGGGAGAGATGCTTTATACCAGCACATGCTGATGATCAAGGCACAGAAGATCGTGGACGTGGACCAGGAGCTCTTGCCCACTGGAAAGTTAATGCGTGTGCGCACCACTCCCTACGACTTCTCCAGTTTGGTAAGTCTGGGCAAGCGGCTTAATATGGTGGCCTCTTGCCCTCTGGGCGGCTTCGACAACAACTTCTGCGTGGACGCCCCGCCCAATCGGGTGCAGTTGGTCGCCCGGGTGGTGCATCCCTGCAGCGGACGGTTCATGGAGGTCCACACCAACCAGCCGGGCCTGCAGTTCAGCACGGCCAATAACTTGCCGGATGAGGACTGCGGGGACATCCCGAACGTGGGCAAGGACGGGGCACACTATGTCCGCCAGGGAGCCTTCTGCATACAGACCCAGAAGTATCCGGACGCCATGAACCACTGCGACTTTCCTTCGATCGTTCTGAATCCCGGGCAGCTATACGACCACCAGGTAGTCTATCGGTTTGGCGCCTGCCCCAAGCGGGTATAGTTGGATCATTTTCAGATCGCGGAGCTAGGAAAAAGGTCCCCAAGGAGTGAAAAGAGGAGCGCACCCAACACTTGCGAAATTTAATGTAAACCGAGGTGTTATCTTTCGGCTTAGTAATTAACTTGTTTGGCACCCTTGGAAAATATTATTTTACCAACATTTTATTGATATTTGTTTTTAATTAATTAGTTTTTACTTTGTGGTTTCTGTTATTCATAAAGTGAGAGGTTATAATTCTCCGTACTGTTTTTTACGGCTATTGTCTGCAATTGCTTTTTTAATTCCCCAATTCTTGATTCCAAATACTGTATATTCAAATGCTATTCCAAATTAACCGGTAATCGGTTTTATGGGCATCACTTTTCATCCATTGGCAGCACAAAATGGGTTGTATCACCGCTAAACTTTTAGCAAAGTTATCAATAGAGTCGATACTAATTTGTGCTATAATTGGCGGTTGTCTTCGTGCTGTATTTTAGAAGCAGCCAAGCGCGGTCACTCTGGAAAGCCAAATATAAAATAGGAATATCTGTAATAATTTCTGTAAAAAGGAAAGGTGTTTGTCTCTGCCACGTCTGAGAGTATCGTCGAAAGCCGCCAAGCTGTTTAACCTACCGCAAGTTTACAAGCGTACGACCGACTCGACGAGTCACAGCAGCAGCAGCAGCAGGATGCCAGTGGGTACCAACTCCTTGATAATGTCTAAAATCGATTCAGACGTTTTAAATTTTTAATGCTCCACTTTCTCGGTTTTCGCGCTTTCCGCAGGTGCACGAATTCAAGGTGGAAATGACCTGTGGCGGATGTGCCAGCGCCGTAGAACGTGTTTTGGGCAAACTGGGAGGTATGTAGTGATATTAGTCTCCGGTATTAAGTTAATACCATCTTATCGGCAGTTACTACATACATATGTACATATGTATAATCTTACATATGCGGGTGAACTTATTTAAAGTCATTGTGGCCCAACATACATATGTATTTGTTTCTAAATTGTTTTTTTAATCCTAATATGTAAAATAAAGGATTTCATTTTTTTAAAAAGGCTTACGAAATGAGTCAAAAAGTTATATTCAAGAACTCTTTAAATTTTCTTTTAAGATCTTTCATTATAACAACGAATAATGACTATAATAAGAACTTTTGATAAATTCCCCGATAACATATATACAACAGACCGTTCTAACCGCAGTTCCTGAAAGTGAATTAACCAAACAAATTTTAATTTGATTTGGCTTTGTACGACTATCATAAATAAAAAAAAATAAAGATTAGCGTTATGTTACACTAGGAAATACTTGCTAACATCTTTTTAACAGCAAATAAGATAAGTTGCTTATGAAATCTGTTTACTATAGATTTAATAATCGATTTGAAATGAAGCCCTGAAAATAATGAATTACAAAATGATAAATTCGCCCATAATTTGCATTGTACTGAGAAGTTGTTCCAATTATCGCTTATCAGTAGCGATTTGCTTTCCCGTCGTGGTTACCAACTAATATCTGTCTTGAATTCCGCAGATAGGGTCGAGAAAGTCAACATTAACTTGGAGGATCGGACGGTGAGCGTGACGTCGAACTTGTCATCCGACGAGCTATTGGAACAGCTGCGCAAGACCGGAAAGAGCACAACGTACGTCGGAGTGAAAAAATGAGACGAGTTTCTCAGCAAGTTTCAGAAGTACGGCAAGCTGAAACTTGAAGTCTAGGGCCTGGACTCTATAGGATTGAGGGATCTTCCACATTGCCGCTCCAAAAGCATTCGAGTTGGGTCGCTGTTCAGTGATATTCATGAGATACATACAAATTTTACTCTTAACCAAAATCAAATATAGGAATGATCTACAAATTTTACACTAGTATTTGCTCTTGCCCAAATTGTATGTAGCTCGTAGTTAACCAATTAAATACCAATTATTATATTATGCATTACTTATGCCTAGATGAAGAATTTTAAATTCAAATTTAACTACTCAAATTTTAAAAGCCAACGTTTTGCCTATACATGTAGGTGCCGTATCTAGGGGCACTCAAGTAGATCCAATGTAGTTGCCAATAAATGATATACGCCAATTGCCCTCTTATGACTAATCATAATATTACAAATTTTACCATTTTGAAAATATTAAATATATATACAAATACGTTTTAATCTTAAAAATAAGCAAGGTTTTATTGCTTGGATGTAATTTGATTTTCCAAACCGTGAATATTTTCCCCAATTCCATGTTAGTTTTAGAAGTCCATGGAGTAACTTATTTTCCCGTTAAGTTTATTGCTTCCAAAACCCCAAATATGTTTTACATTTCGAAAATATGTCCCATCGTCGTTCCTAATCTCCCAATCTGATGCGGGCACTTTGCATCGGCCAGTGGAGTTCGGTGCTCGGTGTAACGATCGAAGAGGCAGCCTGAACACGTCATAAATCTTGGCTTTTGAGAACCCACACCTATTAAATGAAATATTTTTTATTTTTTGCTTTTCATGTTCTGTTTTTGTCTCTTTCTGTGATTTTTGTGGGCCATGTTCGGGGCGTAACGAAATTATCAATCAAATGCCACCTTGGCATGCAAAGAATGCAACACACAAAGAACCAAGGCGACTGCACTAATTGAGCTCAGCGGTGGACGTGTGGAATTTTATGTCGTCTTCGGCTACCTGAGGCTGCGGCTCTGTTGCGTTTCTGAGTTGCGAGTCTCTTGTTGATTTATACCCCAACAACAAAGAGCCCATCGAGGGACGGTGCGGCTGTCACAACACCAGTCACATCCCATCCAGAGACACGTCCTTGCCCCTGACCGATAATAATCCCTCAAGTGTGGTCCGCTTATCGGTTCCAGATATCATCTGAGAGGTCCTTACGCAGACAGGGCTAAGATTATATTATCTTTTCGAATACCGTTCAAATGGCTATGGTAAAGCAAACTGTTAAACGGCTGTTGCTTGCGAACGATGAGAATCTGCTTGAAATAAAGATAATATTTGGAATTTGTTAGCTGCGGAAGCTGAAAAACAATTGGAGAAGGCAGAGCCTTCAAGTTCATACTGAATTTAATGTTTCCTTAAAGCGTTAACTGTAGAAAAGAGTTATTTCTTAAGACAGTTTTATTAAATGTTATTCAAAATTATTGCAAATTCCGTATAAACTTAGGTCCTGAATGTATGTAATATTATAATCTGAAAGCTCAGCCGTTTAAGAACATATCAGAAAGTGGACACACGCCCCACTCATCGCGCCTTTTGGCGGACCAGTCTTTCCGTGTTTTTGTTTTCATTCCTTGGCGATTTTTTGTTGATGTTTTTCCTTGCACACTCTGGCATTGTAGACATTCCGAAAATCGCTGGCGAAATTCTTTGGCGCATGCTTGGCAGCAAAGATGCAACCAGTTGGCCGCTCGTTTTTCGCCTGGTCAAGTGGATGGGACCTCAGATGGCGGTGCGTTTGGAGCATTGGCAGGATAGCCTCTGCGTCCGACGGCCGACTGGTTTGCCATTTGGCGGCGTTCTTATTTTGTCGATTGTTTTGGGAGATGTGAGGCGGACCGACCAGAACAATGGCACACTAAACCGAACTTAGGGCCCAGTTTGGGCCATAAATTCCGAAGTAAACTGTGACGTTTGCGCGGCAGGCAGGCCTCAAAGATACACTCACACAAGGTCGTTTCACTGGCAGTTTCAGTGATTAGTGCGACTGGGCTTCACACCCAGCTCCTTGCTGGTCATTGAACCATTAGCGACTCCTACGCTCCTTGGCCATTTGGGGAAACACAGAAGCCAGCATCGAGCAGTGCAAATTGCAGGGGGAAGTAGAGTGTGGAAGGCGGGAGGCGGGAGGCAGGAGGCAGGCGGAAGGAGGAGAGGACCAAACCTGTCGACGCCATGGAAATTCCTATGGCCCGAGCTCCACAGTTGCGATTCGGGGGCCAGCGTGTGCCAAGCCCACGAGCTTCGGTTCGGCCATAACAAGAGCATAGTCCACAAAAAGTACAAAATCGCCGAGCGTAAATAACTCATAGATAATAATGGCCGGGCATTTGCAGTCCATGCGCGCAAAACAAAAGACTTAGGACACGAACTGGCCGAAGGAGTCGGCAGTCGCAGCAGTCGTCATGTAACCAGGGCCAAAAAACCAAAACAAGATCAACAGGTTTGAGATACTCACTCAAAGTGGCTGCCTCTCCCAGCTACCGAGAGAGACAAAGAGAGAGACAATCCACGCAGACCTGTTGAGTCCGAGTCCAAGACCTCGTCTATTGCGCGTGCCTTCGGTGGATCGTTGGATGGTTGGATCGCTGGATCGTTGCTCTGTAAAAATACTTTTCCCCCAAAGAAGTTTCAGTTGTGTTTTTGACTTTTCGCCGTGCAGAACGATTCTCCTGCGATCGGTTGGTTCGTTGGTTGCTTGTTTTTGTCTCAGTATGGGACTGCGTTCCCTCGCCTCTCCCGCTGCGATTCTCCGATTCTCCGATTGAGCCTGGCCGTGTAATATGCGCGAAAAGTGGTTTTCGGTATATAGGCAGCGCATTCGCATACATCCGCAGAGTCAATTTTCCTGTTAGCCGAAAACCTGCCAAAATAAAAAGAAAAGAATTCGAGGAAAATATAAATAACTGCAGCCGTGTGTGAGTGTGTCCGTGTTGTTGTGCCAGTAATGTGTGTGAGAGTGCAAAAATGCCATGCAAATGTTGATTCTGTTGCCATTGCTGCTCGCCACTCAGCAGTAGGTGAAAGTAAAGCAATTTGTTTAATTAATTGCACGCAAGCAATTTCCCAAAGTGAGCCGAGATAGCTAGAGTCAAGCGATCACTGTGCCAAGTTTGAGTTAGCAAACCAAATTAACTGAATAATCACTGCCAGTTAAGTCGAGCTTAACCCCCCGTTTTATCATCGTATCTAATGTGTTTATTGAAAAACTGTTCGGACTTGGATTTGGATTATTTACTAGAGTCGTTGCGAAACGGAAGCTAAGATAAATTGGAATTTTTGAAAGGTGAGCTGTGAATTTGCAGGATGCTTAAATAGAATAGTAACTAAATTATTGTTCAAACTTTATTCAACACCAATACGTTTATTTTGTCACAACAATTCGGACCGTTTCGATTCTTATCGAGAATGAAGTCAAGTAGCTTACCACACCTAAAAACGGAAACCTAATGAGTTCA